AAATGCCCATGTGAGTTATGGAAATTGTTTCAACCTGGAGGGGCTTCTAATCATTTAGGTTCTACACATGTAACCTCTGGTTGCTTTTGTAATCAGGCAGAGAAAAGGCCAACTATTGCAGCTTCTGAACAACCACTGCCTTCGATTCAGGAGTTATGCCACAAATGAAGACATTCCATGCAACTAGTCATTGAAAATATGATCCTAGGAACTCATTCTTTAGATGGGTTCATTCACATGGCTATCTTATCTCAGCACTTTCGGGAACATACTATTGCTTCGTTATTTTCTTAAGCCATTACCAAGCAATGGTCGATGGCAGCTAATGATGAATTTGTGGTGACGTGGCTCCTGATTTGTCACGGTGGAGTCAGCTTAAGTTTCTTTAGTCAAACTTCCTATGCGACGTCGTTTTTGGCCAACCTAATGACTTATCTAATTAGGTCTTCTCATTTTCACGCAGCCTTCTTTCCTCTCTCGTTTCCGTTTGGCTCGACAGCTTGTTTGGTGCGACAGCTCCTCACCTTGGAGAAAGTTCTAGAATTGATCCAACAAGCTTTCAGTTATGGAGAATCAAGGACAGATGGCTAATGATCCAGGAGTAAAGCATGCGTATTTAACACATGCTGGTCTAGAGAGAAAGGGCAGAGTTTGGGCTGAGAGATTTAGGGTTTTCTTGAATCGGTGTGTTCCTTCCTTGTTTGATGTTTTACCTTATGTTCTGATGAAAGCTTTATCACTGTACATTCTTGATTGATAATAAAATCCCTAGTGTGAGCCTTGGAGAGTGGATGTAGGCTGTAAAGCCGAACCACTATAATCTTGCTGTGTCTTGTTCTCTACTTGTCTCTATTTTATATGTCATGAGTTTGATTGTTGATTTGTTACTAAGTTTTCACCACAAAGTTTAGGTTTGACATAAACCCTAGAAACTTAACAAATTGGTATCGAGCTTGATTGAAGGTCCAATTAGGGTTTCTCTGTTCTTTAGTCGTGTTTTAGGATTTCCTTAAACTGATCTCTTTCTTATTACTGAATGTTTTTCTGATCTATAAGAAAGACATGTCGACTAAATTTGAGCTTGAAAAGTTTACAAGTGAAAACGATTTCGGCTTGTGGAAAATGAAGATGGAGGCAGTATTGGTTAAAGAGGGTTTGGCGTTGGCTCTGAAAGGAAAAGACGAGCTACCTGATACGTTAACCACCACAGAAAAACAAGACATACTGAACAAGGCCAAAAGTTCTCTAATTCTTGGCTTGGGTGACAAAGTACTTCGGGAAGTCAAGAAAGAGAATATTGCTACAAAGATATGGAGCAGGTTAGACTCACTTTATCAGTCTAAGACTGTGCCTAATAGGTTATTTCTAAAATAGAGTTTGTTTGGGTTTAAGATGGATGAACAAAAGTCACTAAAAGACAATAAGAATGAGTTTCTTAAGATAATACAAGATTTAGAGAGTATATCTATTGAAATATGTGATGAAGATCAAGCTGTAATCTTGTTAAACTCTTTACCTAAAACTTATTCGAATTTTGTAGAGACTTTGAAATATGGTAGGCAGACTCTGAAATTAGAAGAAGTATTAGAAGCTATCTCAACTAAGGATACTGAAAATAGAATTAGGGATAAGAATGTGAGCGATGGTGAGGGTCTTGTAGTAAGAGGAAGATCTGAAAAGAAGAACTGGAAAAAATGGGGGCAGAATAGACATAGGTCTAAGTCCAAACCTGGGAAATGGAAGTGTTTCTTCTGTCATAAGGAGGGTCACCTTAGGATAGACTGTCCTGAGAGAAAAAAGAAGAAATATGAGAAAGAGGATGATGGAGGCAGTGCAGGGGTAGTATCAGAGGGTTATAAGAGTTCAGAGGTCCTAGTTATTTCAGAGGGCAGTACTAGGGATAAGTGGATCTTAGACATTGGTTGCACCTATCATATGACACCTAATAGGGAGTGGTTTAGCTCATTTCAACCTTTAGATGGTGGGAAAGTAATGGTGGGAAACAATGCTGTCTGTCATATCAAGGGAATAGGATCTGTTAAACTGAAACTCCATAGTGGATTAACTAAGACATTTACTGATGTTAGGTATATCCCTGACCTAAAACGAAACCTTATCTCTCTTGGAACTTTAGACTCTATAGGTCTGAATTATAAGGCTGCTAATGGGAGTCTTAGTGTCTTAAAAGGGTCTTTAGTTATTATGAAGGCTGAAAAAAGAAATGGGCTGTATGTGTTGAAAGGTAGGACTGATAGTGGAGAAGCTAATATTGGGGCATTTGAGGAACTAGATAAGACTACCTTGTGGCATAGAAGGCTTGCCCATGTTAGTGAAAACGGCTTAGGTGAACTCAGTAAACAAAACCTACTAGGTGGGGATAAAACAGGGAATCTAAACTTTTGTGAACACTGTGTATTTGGGAAAATATGCAGGGTAAAGTTTGGGACTGGACAGCACTATTCAAGCTCACCACTTGAGTATGTGCACTCTGATTTATGGGGACCATCTAAGCATTATTCACTTGGAGGGTGTAGGTATTTCTTTAGTATTGTAGATGACTACTTTAGAAATGTTTTGATTTATTTTCTTAAAACTAAGGATGAGACCATTTCTAGATTTAAGGAATGGAAAACCATGGTTGAAAAGCAAAGTGGAAAGAAACTGAAAAAGGTAAGAACTGATAATGGTTTGGAATTCATTAATGAGGAGTTCAATAACTACTGTAGAATTAATGGGGTAGTTAGACATAGGACAGTGAGACACACTCCACAACAGAATGGACTCTGTGAAAGGATGAATAGGACTATCCTAGAAAGGGTAAGAAGTATCCTGTCTTGTTCCAAACTTTCGGTCAAGTTCTGGGCAAAAGCAGCCCATACTGTAGTCTACTTGATAAACAGAACACCCTCATCAGCTATAGGTTTTAGAGTCCCACTTGAAAGGTGGACTGGTCATCCTGTAAACCTTGAAAACCTTAGAATTTTTGGATGTCTAGCCTATGTCCATTCTAAGGATGAAAAGTTAAAACCTAGAGCCATTAAATGCATTTTCTTAGGATATCCAGATGGGGTTAAAGGCTACAAGTTCTGGAATTTAGAAACTAAGAAGTCTATTGTGAGTAGAGATGCCATATTCAGAGAAAATACCCTACCTGACTTAGGAAACAAACCTGATGAATCTGAGAACTCTTATTCAGAAGTTGGACACTTAGAACTAGAAGTGACTGACTCTAGTTTTAGCCCAAGTTTGAATCAAGGTGGAGTTGAGGAATTAGACACTCATGAGGAAGAACCAATTGGTGATCATGAAGTAGGACAGAATACTCCAGGGGTAGATACTTCAAACTTGACTGATTATCAATTATCAAGAGATAGAATTAGGAGAACAATTAGACCTCCAAGTAGACTAGGATATGCAGATCTGGTGGCTTATGCTCTTCAGGTGGACGAAGAGATGAATGATGAACCTAAGACATTCCAAGAAGCAGTTTCTGGATCTAAAAATTTGGAATGGAAGAAAGCCATTAAGGAAGAATTTGATTCTCTTATGAAGAATCATACATGGGTTTTAGTTGATAAACCAGAAAACTATAGGGTGGTAAAATGTAAATGGATTTTCAAAAAGAAACCAGGTTTAAAAACTCAAGATGCACCTAGGTAAAAGGCTAGGTTAGTTGCAAAAGGGTTCACACAAGTAGAAGGGGTCCATTAGGGTCCTGATTTCCCTAGTAGTTCAATTCAATCTGGAATTAGAACAACTTGATGTGAAGACAGCTTTCTTGCATAGGGATTTGGAAGAAAGTATTCTAATGGAGCAGCCTGAAGGTTACAACAGTGATACAGGTAAAGTTTGTCACTTACAAAAATCTTTGTATGGTTTGAAACAGTCACCACGACAGTGGTATAAGAAATTTGATTCTTTTATGCTAGAAATAGGGTTTAATAGATGTAACTTTGACAGCTGTTTTTACTATAAAAGAATTTCAGAACTGACACACATTTTTTTACTGTTGTATGTGGATGATATGCTTGTGGCATGCCATGATAAATCTGAGCTGTGTCGACTGAAGAAGCTGTTGAACACCAAGTTTGAAATGAAAGAGCTGGGTCAGGCTCATAAAATTCTTGGTGTTTCTATTGTCAGAGACAGAGCTGTTGAAAGTCTAAAGTTAGTCCAACATGACTACACTGAGAAAATTCTGAAGAAATTCAACATGCAGGATGCTAAATCTGTTCAGACTCCTCTCGGTGCTCACTTGAAGCTTTCACACGAGCAGAGTCCACAAACTGAAACTGATAAGCTTGAAATGGCAGGGATACCTTATGCTAGTGCACTGGGAAGCCTAATGTACTTGATGGTTTGTTCAAGACCAGATTTAGGTTTTGCTGTAAGCTTGGTTAGCAGGTTCATGAGCAATCCAGGAAGGACTCACTGGATGGCTCTTAAATGGATTATGAGATACTTACAAGGAACCAAATCAGTTGGAATTGTTTTTAAGAAAAATCATAGTTGTGATGAGTTTGTTGAGGGGTTTTGTGATGCAGATTATGCAGGGGATTTAGACAAAAGAATGTCATCATCTGGGTTTGCTTTTACTTTGTGGGGAAACACTGTCAGTTGGAAATCAAAATTACAGCATATGGTAACCCTGTCCTCAACTGAATCAGAGTATGTTGCATTGACTGAGGTAGCAAAGGAGGCCACCTTGTTGAAAGGTCTGATCAGTGAGCTGGGGATTGAGCAACAGACAGTGAAGATTAACAGTGACAGTCAGAGTGCAATCCACCTTTGTAAAAACCAAGTTTACCATGAAAGAACCAAACACATTGATGTCCGTCTTCATTTCATTAGGGAAATGATTGAAAGAGGAGAAATTGAGATTGAGAAAATTGATGGATCTCATAATCCTGCCGACATGTTCACCAAATCTGTCCCATTTGAGAAGCGCANTAAAGTTAGTCCAACAGGACTACACTGAGAAAATTCTGAAGAAATTCAACATGCTGGATGCTAAATCTGTTCAGACTCCTCTCGGTGCTCACCTGAAGCTTTCACATGAGCAAAGTCCACAAACTGAATCTGATAAACTGGAAATGGCAGGGATACCTTATGCTAGTGCACTGGGGAGCCTAATGTACTTGATGGTTTGTTCAAGACTAGATTTAGGTTTTGCTGTAAGCTTGGTTAGCAGGTTCATGAGCAATCCAGGAAGGACTCACTGGATGGCTCTTAAATTGATTATGAGATACTTAAAAGGAACTAAATCAGTTGGAATTATTTTTAAGAAAAATCATAATTGTGATGAGTGTGTTGAGGGGTTTTGTGATGCAGATTATGCAGGGGATTTAGACAGAAGAAAGTCAACATCTGGGTTTGTTTTTACCTTGTGGGGAAACATAGTCAGTTGGAAGTCAAAGTTGCAGCATATGATAATTTTGTCTTCAACTGAATCAGAGTATGTTGCATTGACTGAGGCAGCAAAGGAGGCCACCTGGCTGAAAGGTTTGATCAGTGAGCTGGGTGTTGAGCAGCAAGCTGTGAAGATTAACAGTGACAGTCAGAGTGCGATCCACCTTTGTAAAAATCAAATTTACCATGAAAGGACCAAACACATTGATGTCCGCCTTCATTTCATTAGGGAAATGATTGAAAAAGGGGAAATTGAGATTGAGAAAATTGATGGATCTCACAACCCAGCCGACATGTTCACCAAACCTGTCCCATTTGAGAAACACAGACTCTGTATGAGTCTACTTCAAGTTCAAGAGTGAACTGATAAATTTCCAAGGCCACATTGGAGGGGATTGACAAATCAAGAAGCCAAGGTGGAGAATTGTGGTGACGTGGCTCCTGGTTTGCCACGGTGGAAGTCAGCATAAGTGTTCAAGTCAAACTTCCATTATGCGACGTCGTTTTTTTGGCCAACATAAAGACTTATCTAATTAGGTCTTCTCATTTTCACGCAGCCCCCTTTCTCTCACATTTCTGTTTGGCTCGACAGCCTGTTTGGCAGGACAGCTCCTTACCTTGAAGAAAGTTCTAGAATTGATCCAGCAAGCTTTCAGTTATGGAGAATCAAGGGCAGATGGCTGATGATCCAGGAGTAAAGCATTCGTATTTAACACATGCTTGTCCAGAGAGAAAGGGCAGAGTTTGGGCAGAGCAAGTTAGGGTTTTCTCTAATCGGTGTGTTCTTTCCTTGTTTGATGATTTACCTTATGTTCTGATGAAGGCTTTATCACTGTACATTCTTGATTGATAATAAAATCCCTAGTGTGAGCCTTGGGGAGTGGATGTAGACTGTAAAGCCGAACCACTATAATCTTGCTGTGTCTTGTTCTCTACTTGTCTCTATTTTATCTGTCATGAGTTTGATTGTTGATCTGTTACTAAGTTTTCATCACTGAATCAGTTATTCATTAACCCTAGAATCTTAACATTAACATAAATGTATTAGTTTTCGGTATAGATGATATGATATGACTGTCTTTCTAATATTAATTCTAGATTTTCTCATACTGTTGGCTTGTTTGGTAGATTATTTGAAAAATGTTATTCTGAAAAACTATTTTAAGTTGAGTTGAGTTGGATTAAATTGAATAAGATAGAATTATGAGAATGTGCTTGGTATAATATCTGAAAATTATATCAGAGTTGGATAAAATGATAAATAGTTGTTTGGTACATTTTTGGAAAACATTTTCTAAAAACATTTAGACTATTTTTTTAACCCCTTGCATTTATTAATTTAGCTAAACACCCCCCACAATAAAACTTTAAAAATGAACTAAAACACCCCCCAAAATCTGGTTGTCAACGATGACCAAAAGCTAGTTGTTGTCAACAGCCAGATAGATCTAATCGTTAATGGCTGGATCCGACAAAATATAGCAGTAGATCTGGCAGTTCCCGACTAGGTCCATGGTGGATTTGGCCAGAAATGGCAAGATTGATGCACGACTGACCGATCGTGCGTCGTTCCATCAGCCGCTGCCAACTGCAGGTGGTTGCTGGCAAGCGGTGGCAGTTTGAGTGGCTTAATTTTCATATTGGAATGAGTGAAATATAATTGTTTTTAGTTGAATAGAGTTGAAAAAATGTTTTGAGTTGAATAGAATAGGATAATAGAAAACAAATCTCCCATTTTTTCAAATCTCCCATTTTTTCATTTTCAGTAGAAAAAAAATTTATTTGATTCAGAATAATAATCTCAATAAGTAAACAAACACATATTCAATTTTTTTTTTTATCTAAATAGGATAACAAAAAAAAAATGATTCAAAAGAATGAAACAAACATAAGCATAATTTATTAAAAAAATGATTGAAATAATTAATTAACAAATATAAAATAATTAAATTTGTGGAGGATGAATATGTAAGCAAGTGTTGTGGTAGTTAGGGAGGATGGTCCACAATCCAACCCCACTTATCTGTTTGCATGCGTTGAATCAAAACTTCAAAACCAGAAAAATATTTGGAAATGAAAATGAAAGAAAACTTCGATTTCTCAGAAAACAAACAAGCTTAGACTGACGGCCACCCAACTGCTGGTCATAATAAGTAAAGACAGTTAATGAGATTAATATTAATTAATTAGTATATAATAAATTGTCAACTCTGAACATTCCATTTCCATAAAATCAAAGAAGAGGGGAATTGGACTGTTCGGTGCGTAAACGGCGTGAAAGGAAGAGAGTCGTCCATGCAAATGGTGACTGGTAGATATAATAGAATGTTGAGTTTCCTCATGTTTCCAGATGACCTTAATACGTGGTTATTTACGGAAATGTGTCAGTTCAGATATACCTTATCCTTACCACTTCAAATATATATGTAATTAACTATATATTACGGGTAGTTTTAAAGTTTCTCAATATATAGTCTTATATCCTGAATAATAATATATGTAATAAAGTGGTATACTGTCACACTACTAATTGACTGGTGTATGATGATTTAAACATTAGTAATAAATTGTTATATGATGATTTGATTATAATTAGTAATACATTGTTGGAAGAGTAATATACTCATACTCGTATCTAGTTACATATCAAACTGTAGTTAATTAATTTAATTTAATTAGTCCATTGGGTAAAAGTAAGCACTTCTTTTAAACAAATCTCTAATTTATAATGATTTTATCCAGGTCTTATGATCTCTTATAATATGCATTCGTTTTCTTTTTAATTGAGGTTTTCTTTTAAGTTTTTAATTCTAATTAGTGAGATGTTGTAAAACTGTTACTCTCGACACATAAACCCTACTCGAACACCTAACATATTTTATACTATAAAGTTTAACTGATTAGAGGTCAATTTCTGTCGGTCCAACGAATCAATCAACCTCATAACGAGTCACAAATTCATGTATATTTGGTCACCTTTTTCAAACTTAATGACACTGAAATTTGTGTTAGAAAGTCATATATTAACCACTAAAAGATTAATTCAAATCAAATAAAGATTTATTTAAATCAATTACACCAAAAAACATAATTAATTTAATTTGTATGTATAACTAATTGAAAGAAAAGTAGGTAGCAAAGTGTTGTTCATTATTATGAAAGGTGTGCTGTGCACCAACGTAAAAGGAAGTATTGTTTAATATTGGGCATGGGTTTGGTGATGGAAGAATCAAAGCAAAGTGTTGTTCATTATTCTGTATATTGTCCACAGCTTTTCTTCCTTATTTAGGTAGGTCAAGTCGTCAAGATTGTGATGGAAGAAAAGCAGCTACTCCAGAGTACATTAAGAGCTCTGCAACTATTTTCAAGGTGACTGTTTTTATAAATATAATATTATGTATAATGTACTTGGTAGGTGAGGTTCCCTTAACTAGTTTCAAGGTGATTGCATTCCCTAGGATTGTTTTCACCCACCGGCTCGCCTGCACTTTCATTTATTTACAGCTTTCACATCTTTTTTTTTTTTTTTTTTTTTTTTTTTTTTTTTTTTTTTTTTTTCTCTTCACTTAACGGAGTCCAACAAAATGCCTCGGATAGTCGGATGTAATCTGGTACACCTGCTGTCTATTGCATTATTGTGAAAGTGAAGTGACCTTTCATTTTGCCATTTAGGATAATGTTATGCTTACTCACAATCTTATTAACTATCTTACTATTCTTTATAAATATAACGCATGGTATGGATATTATACACATAGTATGGGTACCATATGTAATTTTAACAAAGGTAGTAAGGCGGTTAGTAAACTCGTAAGTAAGTATAGCATTATTGTTGTTATTTATTCTGTATGTATAAGGCTGAACGACTTATACCTACCCAAGGTTTGGCCAAACAATATTAGGTCCTAAAAAGTTTCAAAATGACAAACAGGTACCTTCTGTTAGTGAAAAGACTAGAATGCCCTTTGAGAAATATTAGTCTATTTTTTTAATTACTTTTAGACCCATTAAGTTTATTAATTCTATCAAATACACCCCAAAAAAGTTTAAAACTTAACAAAAACACCCCCACCCACCCATACTTGTCAGATTCCGGCGGCCACTGCCGGTGGTAGCCAGAATCTGTCACAACGATCTTCGCCACCACCGTAAATGGCTGATAATTCACAGATCTAACCTTTTCCGGCCAGATCCACCATGGATCTGGCCGGAAAAGGTCAGATCTGATGTGAAAAGGTCAGATCTGGTCGTCGACGGCTGCAACACTCCATCTTTGGCCGTCAGTGATGGCCAAAGATGTGGCCATCGTTGACAGTCAACGACAGCCATTTCTTTGGCCGTCAGTTTCCAGTTAGATCTGGCCTTTTCACGCCATGGATCTGACCAGAAAAGGCCAGATCTGTGAATTATCAGCCATTTACGATGGTGACGAAGACCGTTGTGACAGATTCCGGCTACCACCGGTGGTGGCCGCCAGAATCTGACAAGTATGGGTGGGTGGCGGTGTTTTTGTTAAGTTTTAAACTTTTTTCTGGGGGTATTTGATGGAATTAATAAACTTAAGGAGTCTAAAAGTAATTAAGAAAATAGACTAATATTTCTTAAAGGACATTCTAGTCTTTTCACTAACATAAGATACATGTTTGTCATTTTAAAACCTTTTAGATACCAATCGTCATTTCATCAAACCTTGGGTAGGTGTAAGTCGTTTTCCCTATCTATAATTGTACACTAATTTACCATCATCAAGATTTTATCTTACCAAATGTTGAGTGAAATATATTAGTGTTGTGTTGTTTTCATTACACAGTAGCAATATAATATAGGGAAATCCATGTCTCCCTAATAATGCAACATAAAAAATCACCAGCAGCGACAGCTCAGGTGTTTTTATTTTTAATTGTTTAATTTTTGGCTTAATTATCGACCTTTCCTTAGTGCTAACTTAACAGGACATGTTCTAAATTTGTCAGCACTTCTCCTGAATATTGTTTATTAGAAAACAAGAAACGACAAAATGCAAGCTGGTGAGAAAGGAGATACATTGTTTGTGATATATCGGAGTGTCATAAAAATGCGCACCAAATTATTATAAAGTTTTGGTTTATTTAATCGATGCTAGGGTTCGACAGCCAGTCGACCATATTGTACTTCTCGAATCTTCTTGCATACTGTGATACTAGCTACCCAACAGCTTCTTCTGTCTTTTCCTATTCCCTTTCCCTTTCCAGTCTATTTCTCTGCTCTTATAATTCTTTTTAATTTTCAAGGCAGATATTTTTTTTTTTCATCACCGGGGTATTTGGTAATTTCATTTTCCTTTTTTTTTTTTTTTTTTTTTTTTTNATTCAAGATTTTCTAT